CCTTGCTAAAATTGCAGCAATTAGAAAGGTGATTTCTCCATCATCAACCCACACACAGCCCTTACTGTCAGTGAAGAGGAGGTGCAGTAGCCCGGTGACAGGGCACCTGCTTTGCATGCAGTAGGTCTTAAGATTGGAAGATGAGAGACGGCTCCTTCCTGAAATGGTGAAGCATTGCTGACCAGCGAGTGTTGACATTCCTGGGCTAGATGGACCAATGGTCTGACTCACAGCCCTGTAGGGACTATAAAGAGCTATTCCTACGTTCCTGTAGCAACCTAGTAAGCATTCCTGTGCTATTATAAGAATATGGCAACTTTTACACTCTTCAAGCAATATTTTGCTTTGAAAAACTACATTATCGCTACTAAAAAATACTGGGTTAAAATAACTGGATAAGATTGTACTTTTGCCTTTCAGATGAAAATAACTCAGGCTGCTTGTTATTAAAGTTACTGAAAGATTTGCTTTTAATTTTAACTGGATCTCCGAGACTTTATTTTGTCACAAAGCAGTTACTCATGTGGAAATGTTAGCAAACTAGGACTGCAGAACCATTTTCACTCCAAGCATCAAATTTCATGTTGGAGAAGACTTTCGCAAAGGCAAAAAGCCTACTCTGCCTGCCAAATTGCAGCATATTCTAGCTTGAAGGTCTTTGTGCCAACAACTAAGCCTTATGAAAGGTATTTCATTATTTTAGAATAGGGAAAATTGTACAAAAACTTGGAAAACACCAAATTATCATTGATTTTAGGGAGTCTTATATTTTTATGTAGATTAGTGTATTAGTGTGTTAAGTCTCATATTAAATTTTGTTACTAAGGCAAAACTACTATGCACTCATGACAAAAAGAAGGGGCAATAAAGAGCAATAACCAAGCAGAAAATTCTGGTTTTAGTATGAAGGTCAATTGGAATAAATAGTACATTTAAAAACAATAGGTGGTCAGTTTCTTTACAGAAAGGGAAAAGGGAGCTTACAAAAGAAAGAGAGCTATCTCTGGAAACAGTACTTACAGATCAAAAGAGCAAAATGACTAAACCTGTCTATATGTACTCGTGCTACAGACCCTCAATAGAACAGGACCTAGGAAAGTGAGCCCTCTGAAGCAAATACTGAATAGGGCAAAACCAAAACAAGGAAACACACAGAAATCTTGCCACTACCTTGGCTTTATACCCCAAAACTGGTAGCAGATCTGGGGTGATTACTATTAGCCAATCGTGAGCTAGCTGGAAACAACCTGCCCAGAGTTTTTGGGGGCATAAAACTCCCCTCCAACATTCAGCTGAGTTCCTTTAACCCAATTAGTGAAGGCCCATTTTTCAACCTTGAAGTGAGCGACAGCATAGTACAACATCTCTAGTGGCCTAAGGAATACATTCCATCATGGAATGGAACTGTCCAGGTCACTAAAACAAAGAAGAAGAATGGATGTAGAACAGGATTTCAGGTAAGTGTTCATCTGGTCATGGATAACCGATAGGCATGTATTTCTAAGCAAGGACCAGTAGAATAGCTATTCTAAATCTACTAAATTTCAGTATTGACTGCTGTTGCAGCCTTTCCTTTTAAGCTGAGTTTAGCTGGATTTCCTGTGCATCACACGGAGTGATACCCAGAAATTACAGTCTGGAAACAAGCAAAACATCTTCCCTAAGTAGGGGAGACTGTGCAAAACAGGTTAGAAAAGGGTGCCACTTTGGCTGGTTGCTCCAATGCATATTATGAGAAGTATCTGTTACTGCAGAATATAGACATAGTCATGTGGATATAACAGCTATGTAATGTTTTATCATTTTAATAACTGCATCTCACTTATTGTCTCAGCTGCTTGTTTCCCTGACAACTCCAGTGCTGGCTTATGGCACAGATAAATATCTGCATTGAAAGCTGATGCTTGTTGAGATTTCTTTACTTGCTCCTTCAACCTTCTAAGTTGTAAATATGCTGAAGGAATGTGTCCTGGGGATGATTCTACTCCAAAAGAGTCAGGGATTTCTAAATGCAGCTGTTGTGGATTCTGGCAGCCAAGTACTATGACAGAATAGTACTACTGGGATTGTTATTTAGCAAGATGTTTTTATCACTGGTGACAACATCTAGGAATTGCACCTGTGGGGAACCTGCCATGTTCAATAGCAGACAACTTAACATTCCAAACTCTGCCCTATGACTTGGTGAATACTCATTGACTGTTAACAGCCTATGTGCCACTTATCTCTGATCTTCAGGAATCCAGAATATCCACAAAAATACTAATTATGAGCTAAGTTAGTCTTTCCAGTTTTTAGAAGATGAATTGGTAACCTATACAAGGAATACAGAAAGAAGAAAGTGATGAGAATATTGATATAAAGCACCATTCCATATAAAAATAAGCATGGCAGCTGCATATTCTTAGCTAAGATGGGAGAATGCAACTGTACTGTTGAAATGTGTGTTGCTGTTTAAATACCTGATATACATACATACCGAGGCTGAGACTGGATGAACAGATGAGATTTTCTTCCAGTTAGTAAACAGGCAATTACCTTCTAGGCTTTATTTTTTTATTTGTGGTGGACTCTACCCAAAGAGTGCTCATCAACAGTTGCTGTAATTTTAAGTGGACTAAGATGTAAATTATATATATAACTTGGTGATAGGAACAGAAGGGATGATTATCAAATTTGCAGATAACATCTAACTGAATAGGGTAACGAATACTTTATAAGAGATTCAGGATTATCTTAATATGGTAGATAATTGGGCCAAAACTAAATGAAGTTTTGAAGAAATCTGTCATATAAATGCAGCATGTGTGACCCCTGGCTTTTGACAGGAGACTCTAGCAGTATACATCTAAAAGATCTAACAGTTTTAGAAAATCCCAAGTTTATCGGCAGTATGATGAAGCAGGCAAGATATGTTGCCAGGGTCATGAGATGTATCACTCTGTTCTGCTTTGGAGAGACCCCACCTGGAGTCCCCTGTTCAGTTTTTCATTTCAGGAAGAGTATAGTCCAGAGGAGGGTGACAAAGATGGTAAGGGGCCTCCAATTCTATGAGAACAGACTGATAAAGATGGATATGTTTAGACCGGAGAACAAATTAAGAGGTGTTAGGTTGCGTGCCCTCAAATAGTTGAAGGGGTGTCATGTAGATGAAGGAGAAAGTTTGGTTTCTGTTGCTGTAGAGTGCTTATGCCTGAAGAAGGAGAATTAAAACTAAACATTAAGTTAGGAAGGTTGTATGGTATGAATTCAATCCTGAAGCAGATTGTCTTGGAAGGTTTTTGAGCAGATGCTGAACAACCGCCCAGCAGAGACACTGTATCAATGGATTTCTGCATTGGGAGAAAGAACTGGAAGAACCTTTGAGATCTCTTCCAACTCCAGTTCTATGAATCTGTAAATATTAATTTATTTTGTATTGAGCATTGTGCATTTGAAAGAAGCTAGGAAAGATGGAGAATGGGTGGAGTGTCATGTAGGAATTTCTTCAGCATGAATCGATGAAAACTCACTGGCATGGCTGAGGGACTATAACAGTCTTATTCTATGGCACCTGTGCTATTTGTCAACTGATATAAAAACTGTACAGAGTAAAACTCTTTGTGAGTCTTATTTCCTTTTACATAATCTAAGTTTGTTTGCAGTTTTTCTTAAACTTAACAGCAAATGCCCTTTGTTTTAAAGTACTGAGTTGGAATTTTAGATTTCTTAGAATGGTAAGCAATCATTCATTCATTCATTCATTCATTCATTCATTCATTCACATACTGCCCAACAGACAAAATGATCTCTATGAAGTGCTTTGTTTCCTGTGTGTCAAAAAAAAATGTATGCGTATGCATTACAGATGGAGACTCACCATTTACATAGACCCAGATTTCATATAATGGTGGCAAATTATGGGTTGGTTAATTGATTAATCCACAATTTTCATAGTGCCTGCTGTGTGTGTTCCATGGTCAGTTTGAATATTCAGTGACCAATCATAGCCACTTTCAATATTCAGTGTCCAATCAGGTTGCTACTGTGAGTCATTTAAAACAAATTAACCTATAGTGTTCTGGGGTTCAGATTTAATGTAGCAACTCCTAATTTGGTGCTGAATGTTCAAAGGGATTGTGGAATACATCGTTCACATGCTATAGGAAATTGTGGGTTAATTAACTCCCAATTTGCTGCTATCATATGTTAATACTTCCACAGTGTATAACAGCCTCTGGTAAAGATAATACAAGATGATTTTTCAGACTGGATGGCTATTTAAAAAAATACTGCTCCTAACTGTAGCTTTTTTCTGTAACTTGATAACTTTTATTTGTTTGTACAGTTGAACCTTGATTTTCATGGGTTTGTCTTTTGTGGGTTTGATTACTCACAAGCTTGTCATCAATAATTAAACTGATTTTTTTTTGGAGTTTTGCGGCCTACTGTGGAAAATCATTATCTCCATAGAGAGGAAGTGCAAGGCAGGAGAGGGATGTCCTCTGAAGCATGCCTTTTTGTCCAGCCCATCTGAAGAGGGAAATCCCTCCGGCATTTCCTTGGTTCAGAGGAGGCACTAGTGACCAAAAGGGAAGGTGGGGAATAAGAAAATAAGAAATAATAAATGAAGGAGCCAGGCTGGATCAGGCTAAGGTCTGAGAAAGAAGCAGTGTAGTATTACAAGTTGGGAGAGGTGGCTAGAGATATTCAGGGTTTTTCCACTTTCATGGGGTCCTGTGCTCCTAACTGCTGTGAATGTGGAGAGCCAACTGTATGTTATGATGTTGTAAACAACTGATTATATTAAAATGCTTGAAAATACTGAGGTCAGCTGCTTTGTGAACATTACAGGGCTTGTTTTGTTTCTGACTTTAGTGTTTCAGTAGATTCATAAAATACTACCGTATTATTTTTTCATTATACTTTATTTACTTTAAATCTCTAATGCCGCAAAAGATATTTGCTGAGCTTCTAAAAAGCACTTTCCCCTCTAATTCTACCATGTGTTTCCCTTTTAGTGGAGGCGGTAGTGGAGTTTGACTACAAGGCTCAGCATGATGATGAGCTGACCATCACTGTAGGTGACATCATCACCCATATCAGGAAAGACGATGGAGGCTGGTGGGAAGGACAGCTCAAAGGCAGAAGAGGTTTGTTCCCTGACAACTTTGTAAGAGTGAGTACAAAGTGAACACTGTTAACTGTTTTGTCACTGACTTGTATTATCCTGTTTAGATACAAGTTTGCCATCTTAGTGAAAGGTGTGTGCAAAATAATTGCTATATATCAAGTTATTATAAAAGACCTCTCTGTTACCAGAGAGAGATGAAAAAGATTCCTACAGTTGGGTAGACGTATCACATTTCCCACTGATTGAGCCTACTGCACCTAATGAGAAAAAGAAGGTGCTTGAACAGGAGAGACCTAATTTTGAGAATAAATGTCTGCAAGGAAAGGGAGTTAAACACTCATTTTTACTGACTGTTTCTCTGCACCCAGTTAAAGTTTTCTTAAGCTTAAATGTTATTACATCTATCTGCATGTAACATCTAGTTTGCACATTAGGCCGCTTCATACAATGTAATAAGACACTGTGGCTTAGCCACAGTGGGCTGCCAAGTGTGTGTGTGTGTGTGTGTGTGCATGTGCGCGCACACGCACGCGTGCACAGTCATTTTGAATATTCAAGTTGTGGCTTGTGTTAACCAAATCCAGACAGTGAAGATGGTACAATGTTTAAACAATCCTCAGGTAACCTACAACCTGGTCTAGATTATGCAAGAGTTGTTTTTTCTCCACACAACCTTCAGTACCTGCTCTGGACAATACAGTGAGCCATGGCCTGAATATTTGAAAATATCCCCTGTGGGCTGCAGTAGTGGTGTGAATACTCTTGGATTCCCAGAGAAAGCTGAACTTATTTGTACATGCCATTGTACAGACATTATAAGGCACTCTCTGGCATCCACCCATGAAGATGGTTGGAAAACTGTAACTGATATGAGATGGCACTGCCTAACAGATAATGGGATTTAAGTGTACATGGTCGTATTTAAGATACATTGGTTGCCAGTATGCTTTTGGCCCAATTCAAATTACAATTGCTAACATTTTGGGCTCCAAGGAACAGAGGAAAAGTATGCTCCTGTGTGAACCTTCCTGAAGCTAAAAATGATCAGAGGGATCCTGCTTCGCATATCAACTCATTCAGAGGTCACATTAGTTTCTAATCTGTGCTGGCTTAAGTCATGACTCTTACCAAACAGAAGATGCTGTGTTTTGTGTACAAGCAGATCAGGGCATGAGAAGAGATGGGAATAGCAGAAATGCACATGTGTGCAAACTGTACAGCTTTCGGTTTTGAAAACAAATCTGAATTATTCTGTTTCCTCACTTTCTCCGTTACTATTTTGTTACTTGTCCATTTGGTGTGAGGAAAATATAATCAATGAATAAAAATTAATTAATGAATTAACCATAATTCATCTTCAATGATCATAAAGACAATGACTGAGCTGTTCTGATGAAGTGGTCTTTCTTTGATATTTTTTTCTATAGCTAACTATTTTGTATAATAATGCTAAAGAAACTGTAACATCTGCATTTTATTCTTATGTCCTTAATTTTGACTATTGAGAATTTTTTTTAAAAAGTGTAGTAAAGAGAATTCTTAGAATGGAGTCATCATGTTTACACTAACACAGTTTAGAAGAAAACATAAAGTAGAGAAATGAAGAGAGGAAGAAGCTAACATTTGCACTTGCATGTGGAGGAAATTAACTTGATCAGATAATTTCCCTTTAGTGAATTTGTGCTGAATAAACACTGAGACATGTTATAGGAATTGAGAGCATTAGTCATACAAGAAGTACTAATTGCATGTGGCATTTCATCGTTCGTTTGTTGTAAGGCCAAAGAATGTATTTTTAAAGAAGCTGCATTCATAATTTGTGCTTTTTCCTAGTCAAGCAGTTCTGTTTTGGAGGCATGGTTCTCAAGGGGTTGAAGTGCTGAGACTTTTTGATTAGCAGGGATGCTGGTATCACCTCTTCCCATCAGGCTCGGGCTTCCCTGTTCCTTCTGAACTGATTTGCTGGGAGACATATGGATTTTCCCAGAAATAATATATTCTTAGCAACACCTGTTGTAATTCAATGTATTTTTCAGTGTCTTGGTCTTGAATGGGCAATGATAATCCAGAAGCTTTGCAAAAGCAGCTTCTGGTGGAGATGAAAACTGCCACAGATTCAAAGTTGATATGAATCAGTGCAGATTCCCCACTGGGATATGGCTATAGGCTCTGTCAGGATGAGCACCTGCACTTCAGAATTTCCCAATACATTCAAGCAACTGTATTTGAATGTGTAGCAGCTGAGATGTTAAGATTTTCCTGATAGCATAAGAGGAGAGATAAAACAGGAAACTGTGGTGCCAAAACTGTGCTTGTGGGCTTTAATTTGCAAAGGCAGCTATGTATCTGACATGCTTTTGGATTGCTGGCAAATGTATGCTGTTTGAAAGAGTCTGGTGCCTTTCTGTGTGTTTTCCAAAAGCCTTGCAAAATATGTTAACATCCTCACCAGGTGCATCTTTTGAGCTACTGAATGAGAAAGTTTCAGGATCTCAGCTGTTTCCTGCGGTTGGTGCACAAATTTTGCAGGTGTAACTGCAGATGGTTAGTGCATTGTGTATCACTGCACTGGAACCTAACTTGAGGACAGTTCTTTGGAAGTAGCAACTTTCAATACATGGAAGCTGAATGCAAGTTCCCAATTAAACTGTTCAACTCACATATTTTCTATGCTTAGGAAAGCAGATGTACAATGAAACCTAACGGTATTTGGCCCTACTGCTAGCCAGCAGAGCAGATGATGTGATTGAACAGCTGCATCTCCTGTCTGCGGAATACTCGCTAGATATTTCTGTTGGCCAAGAGGGCCTTTTTTCCTATGCAATGCTTTGTTTGTGTAAAAGGATAGACATGCCAAAATCACCAGAGGGATGTGCATGCAGAATTGAAGACAGTAATTGTAGGTGGTCTTCTCAAATTGCAAAGTTACTGCCACATTCGGCAATAGAACATGTTACTATGGGTTGTCTTAGTCTTACTCTCTTACTCCTATTTGATGTAACACTGGTATGGCAAAATTGCTGCTTAGCACTGTAAGGGTGTTATCTTTTTCTGTCTTTCTCGTCAGCAAATACATACCTTGAGAAGTGGCAGCCTCTATTTGGCATATATAGCTGACTTCTACTGTGTTTTAATAAAACATTTCTCCCAGTCCTTTCAACTAATAGGCCCTGAAGACAGTGTACAATTTAAAAAAATTAAAAAGCAGAACAACAAGATGCATGAGAATGATACTGATGATTAGCTCCTCAGTTTAACAACAACAACAACATGATAATAATAATTTCACTGCTCATGAGAAGATGACTAATGAAGAAGTCAGTCTGATATTCTGAGGGAGGGAGCTCCACAGAAAGCATGCTACCACAGAAAAAGCCTACTTCTGACCAACCTACTTCAGTCTCTGTCCACAACAAACTAAGCCACTGAGTTATAAACCAATGTTTCATCTGAATCCCTAGTGCTGTCTGGTGGGGGGCATATGGCACCTCAACTAGCTGTGGCTAAGCTCCTGTGGTTTAGCATGTCATCCAAAAGCCTAGGGAGCTCCTTGGCTAGAGTGGAAACAAAAGGTTGCTGCTCTGGCCAAGGACTCTAGCTGATAACGTCTAGCAAAGCACACCAGTGGCACTTTGCACAGCTGTGATCGGCTTCCTCCTGCCAAAGCTGGGGAAGAGTAGGATTGCTCATGAAGTTTCACTCTCCCCTGGCATTGGCAGGAAAACTGAGGGAAAGTTGCTGGGGTCTGCAGTGTTCTACCTTCTGAAACGCCGCTTGGGGATGGGCAGCAGGGTAGCTATCCCTTTGGCATTGCTTCTGCAAGAGGAAACAAGACCTAGCAGTTGGATCCCATTTGCTGCTGCTGCTGCTACAGCAACAGGCAAGAATGAATAGCTTTGTTTGCCTTCCTTGACTGAAAACAGGCGGTGGCCCAGCCTCTTGCCTGCTCCATGGACCTCCTCCTTCCCGAATGGGATTTGGGGAGGCACATGGGACAGATGCTGATGTGGTGCTTGTGGGTGCTACATGAACTGAGATCAGGGGAGTGTGGGTAGGGGCAGTGCCTTTGGCTGGGCCTCCTCCTGGGGAGAGCGAGCCGAACATGCCCCTTGCCCACCCACTATGATGATCACAGGGTGATCATGGCTGTGGGCAGGGTGGAGGAGCCATGATTGACTGGGACTCCCTGAGAGAAGACCCAGCTAAATACATTGACTTCAGATTTTGGGGCAACTGTAAGTGCTTCAGCAAGCAAGGACGGAGGTGAGCACAAGTGGGGCAGGAGTGCAGGGCGAGGATTGCCAGTAGCTCTGGTTGCCCTCCCCTGAAACTTGCTGCTGTGTTGCTTGGGATGCCACTTGGAAGACCCTGGAGGGAAGATTCAGTAGGATGTGCCCCGGGTTCCCCGCTGTGGGCAGTCAGTAATTGGGCACAGCATGGGTCCCTAGGTCACTTAGAGTATCAGCCAAATCCATCCAGAGAAGGTTCTTCTATGAGGATGGTAAAGCAGGGGCATGCACACATCGAACTTAATTTTTAAATATTACTGTCAGCCCTTGGAAGGACTGGAAATAAAGTGCAAACATCCAGATTTCTCCCCAATGCATAGGAAGGGGTTTGTTTGTTTATGTTTACAGAGCAAAACAAGTTTATACAAAAAGGTTGCAATTGTTTGAAAATATTTATTTATTTATTTATTTATTTATTTATTTATTTATTTATTTATTTATAGCATTTGTATGCCGTCCCATCGCATAGCCTCGGGACTGCTTACATAAATAAAATAAAACATAATACAGATAAAATCCAGATCCACCCTGCCTGCATATTAAAACCTATAAACTGATATTAAAAGTTATTAAAATATAATTGAAATAAAAAGGTCTTAGCCTGGCGCCGAAAAACAAATAACGACGGCGCCAGGCGGACCTCTCTGAGGAGCGCATTCCATAGGCGGGGCGCCACCGCAGAGAAAGCCCTCCTCCGGGTACTTTGCCTGCTAATGTCTTTCACAGAGGGTTCCCGGAGGAGGGCCTCTGCTGCCG